TGTCCTAAGGTGAGCTCAATGAGAACGGAAATCTCATGTAGAACAAAAGGGTACAAGCTCACTTGATTTTGATTTTCAGTATGAATACAAACTGTGAAAGCATGGCCTATCGATCCCTTAGTCTTTACGAGTTTTAAGCTAAGGGGTGTCAGAAAAGTTACCACAGGGATTAACAAACGATTTGGGATGTGAGATTTACCCACCCTCATACCACCCTACCTAAGGGCTTTTGAGGTTTCTACCCAGATTATACGTTTCACAACTGTAGGGCAACACTTGTTGTATCTCTTTCACGTCTCTAACAATGTTTACTATCTGTTTTGTTTTCGTTGTATGCCTGCATTAAATCCCACGATTTTCTTAGGAATGCAAAGTGTTTGTTTATGTTGGGTAATGGCAAAACAAGCAAACATCCTTCTTACTTATACATTTCAAACTTATTATTACTTGGTAGTAGGAACATGCACATTACTTGTTATATCTCCGGATCGTTTTGGCTCAAGATAGATGATTACTTCGTCGTAGAGACAACACTCCTGTGCAAGCAAATAAGTGAACCTCCTCTTCACTCACTTCGTTAATTGTTACAGCTTGCTGAATAATTCACATTGTTAGCTCCTGGAGGAAAATTTGAAATTTTTATACTTTCTTCGGACAGGTACGAGGAAATTGTTGAAATTGACAGTTTTTTTCTACGTTCTGTTAAGAACGTCGTCACTACTGAAAGATTATGGAGCATAATAGGTATACATTCTCGTAATAGGCATGAAAAGAAATAGGCATACACCCTCCTAACTTACTCGAGGCTTGCTACGGCTGGGTCCTTGGATTTTGTTGCATTAAAAAAACGGCGAGTTTCGCAGAATGTTGTACTTATCGCACTGAAGTTTTGACAAAAAGTTGAAATTTTTATTTCGTAATGACTAGTCTGAGGAAAATGTTTTTTAGCCTATCAAGAAGAAGTTCAAATTTATTTATCTTGTTCAGACTGTGCCGAGAATGAAGTTGAAATGCACAGTTTTTACGCTATACTATGAACATCCTCCTTTTATGAAATATTATGGAGGGACTGCCCCTCTTGAAGCAAATAATCACGCATCCACGTACTTAATAACTCACTGGAGACTTGTACGGCTAAGTCTTTGGATGTTGCATTAAAGACGATAGCTTTTGGGAATACTGAATTTTTCGCACTGAATTTGTGAAGAACATGTTGAAAATTTTCATTTTCGTAGTGACCGGTCCTTAAAAACAGTTGAAATTCACATTATTAGTGTATGAAGATGAAGTTGAAATTTATTTATGTTCTTCAGACAAGGCCAAGAAAGAAGTTGAAATCCACAGTTTTTACACTATAGTATGAATATCCTCCTTACTTGAAATATTGTGGAGAGACTGCTCCTCTTGAAGAAAATAAGCACCCATCCACGTACTTAATAACTCACTATGTAGTATGAACATCCTCCTTACTTGAAATATTATGGAGAGACTTCACCTCTTGAAGCAAATAAGAACGCATCCACGTACTTAACTCAGTCGAGACTTGCTGCGGCCGTGTCCTTGGATGTTGCATTAAAGAACGAGCAGCTTCGAAGAATACTAAATTTTTCGCATTGGACTTTTGAGCAAAATGTTGAAAATTTTCATTTTCGTACTGACCGGTCCAACGAAAGAGTTGAAATTCACATTATTAGCCTATGAAGAAGAAGTTGGAATCCCTTACTATCTCTTTTGTTTTCGTTGCATGCCTGCATTAAATCCTAGGATTTTCTTATGAACGCACACTGTTTGTTTATGTTCGGTAATGGCCAAATAAGCAAACATCCTTCATACAAATCTTAGTTACAGTTAGTTGGTAGGATCTTGCATCACGTAAATTGTTGTATTAAAAGTCTGTGCAGAACGTTGTTATGTTATTTTCAAACCCGGCTGAAATAGTTGAAAATATGTCCATATTGTGGTGAGCACAGCGCTCCTCTCGAAATAAATAAGCGAACTTGGTTGATGGCTGTTACTGCTGAGCTTTAGACGTTTCTACCAAGGTTAGATTATACGTTTCTCTCCAATGTAGACATAGATAAAGACAATAGACAAAGATGCAAGACTTGTGGAGTTTTTTATTTTTATGTAAATCTTGATCCTTTTTAAAACCAGGAATGTAGCACTTCAGAAGAGCCTTTAAAATAAAAAGAAATGGAACGCGAAGGAGTACTAAAGTAAAGGCTAAGATTTTAAATGAAACCAACAACATTTTCGGGTCTGGTATATAATAGAAATTTGATTTGGACAATATTTATAAAGTTTTATTGATTTAGACAAAAGCAGGCTTATGTTAACAACATATGTAATGACAATTTGCTGTTTCTAAACGTGCAACAACTGCAAATATATGAACGCAACAACTGTAAACATATGTACACAACAATTGTAATAAATAGAAATTATTGTTCAAGTTAAAGTACATTCTTATAATTTGTCATTTTAATTAATGTGAAAATTCTGACTTGCACAGTATTTATAACGTTTTACTGGCATAAAAAGGACATATGCAAAGTATTAAAGCACGCTTATGTTAACACGATATATTATGAGAATACGTTGTTGTTAAACATGCAACAACTATAATATATTTGAACACAACAACTGTAATGAATAGAAATAATTGTTTCAGTTTCAAATTAAAGTACTACTTATACTTTGTCCTTTTTTGGTTTCTTGTTTTTTTTCGGCTTTGTTTTAGGCTCTTCCTCTGGTTTCTCTTGTTTAGTGACGTCGACAGGGCTTGTGGTCGTTACCTCTGTGCTGCTGCTGGCAGTAGTTGAATGTTTTGCTCTCTTCTTTTTGTGTGTTTGCTTCGGTTTATCATCTGCTGGACTTGAAATTGGCACATCTGCATCAATGGTGGTACTAGATAACTGTTCAGGACATGTTACAGTACTTGTTGAAGAACTTTTTCCCCTTTTCCGCTTACGCGTTTGCTGTTGTTCGTCTTCGTTCTCTGTGTTATCTGCTGTTCGCTGCTGAGTTTGATTCGCACGTTGCATTTCTTGCATTTGATTTTGCAAAGATAAGATCATGTCCATCAACGCGTTTGTAAAGCTTGGTTCGCCAGCTGGTGCACTAGGGGCTGTGTGCATCGACGTCGATGGCTCGTTTGGCAAGGGAACAATTGGAGTTGAACGTGCAGGAGGTTGAAGGCCACCTGACGACAATGGATTGACCAGCTGCTGCGCCAGTTGACGTACATTCTCATTAGTGGAAGGAGCGGCCATTGGAGTGGAACTGCACATTTTAGTGAGCATCTGTTGCAAAGAAGCAATATTCTTCTCATTTTAAAATTTGATTGCGGATGGATCATCGTTGACTAACTTAGATGCATACTGCTCTGGATTTGTAATTAAACAGCGCATTGCCCTTAATTGCGTCACGAACACAAAAAAGGCTGCCGATTGGTGCATCCAGTTTGCAAGAGATGCATCGAATTCTGGTTGAGCAAAGCACCATTGCATAACTTCATATACATCTTGGTCACTTGCCACTGATGACTTGTCTTTGCTGTTGAGGTTCGTTAACACTTGTTGCATGGGTGCTACGGAATTTTCTATTTGTTGCTGCACCAATGGTTCGAGATAATTTCCAGCACTAACAATTTGCCAGTTTTCTTGTATAGCCTGAGCTGCTTCGCTTAGAGCTATTTTTGGACGAGTGGTCCATTCACAGTTCTTTGAGGTCAGTTTGTCCATAAACTCCTGCTGATCACATTTAATTTGTGCATCATATGGCCATAAGAAAAAGTGCGGGAAGTGTTTGAAGTATGTCACTTTGTTGGCCGACGATGGCGATGGTCTAAAGGATGATGATGACATCTAAAGAAACAAACACAACTGATACTTAGGTACAGTTACCATGACAAGTACATACAGGGAGGGATTTAAAATTGCATACACATATGATGCAATTGTTTTAACCGAAGTATCAAGTAAATACTAATTGTAGCAAAATTGTCAAATTTTAAAATTACAATCGATTTAAAGTCGTGAAAACAATCGAACGTTTGTCCTGTTACTCATTCCCCTCCATTAACTGTGCCGAACGGAAATGTGTCCACCAATGATTGACCAACTCAAGTAATATTAAATGTACACTTACTTATAAAATGCGTTTGTTTGGTAACAGTAAGAAATTGGCCTATTGTGATGCAACTGGATGAAAATGTGACATTAGCAGTGGTGTTAGGAACTTGATGCTTTCTAGAGTTTTAACACGTGACAAAGCTACATATGCTCCACCTTGGCCAATGTTAGTAGTGTCAAACCAGACAACAACATTTTCAAGTGTTTGGCCATGCGATTTGCAAATGGTGATAGCATATCCTGGCACAAATGGGAAGCATTTTGTAATTGTCTCGCTACCGTCTTGGTCTGCTTCGTTGTTCACCGTTGAAACAGGGTAGACAGATACAGTTTTACCATTGGGTAATTTTATAAGGATCGTCATGCCTTTCATCATTAGAATAATACCTGGTTGCCCATTGACTACCCCATTTTTTTTGTCTCTATTTTGTGTTAAAATGATACGCATACCTTTAAAAATGTCGGTAGGTGGGTCATCATTGTCCATTTGTACCTTACCAACATGAAGATTAGAGGTAAAAAGATTTTTCAATACTAGCGTGTTTATTCGAGAAACTGCATTTCTGGACACAGTTACAAACGTGCTGGAAGCATTGTCCCGAATAATTGGTAGAAGGTCGGTATCACTGATATATTGTGAGTCATGAAGGAGTCGTCCCTCGTGTAGTTTGTCGAGGATATCAAGTGTCGGCCTCCAATACCGCAAATGGTTTAGAATTTCCGAGTATTCTTCGTCAACGCACCGATGCTGCCTAGTGAGGTTGAAAGATCTTGAAATTCGTGCAAAGAATCTAAGTTATAAACACTAGTTGTACTTGTGGTGCGGTTATTGACGGTTATTATCGGTGGCAATTGACATCTGTCACCACAAATAAGGAGAATTGGTCGAGTTGCTAACTGCTTCAGAGTCGAAAGTATATGGTTAAAAATGGACAAAGGGACCATAGAGACTTTATCGATAATAATCAAGTCGTACATGGCAAGGGCCCAGTTGACTTGTGGCATTGATCCATCTATTGGAATGCAAAATGAGGAATGGATTGTATTTGCATGAATATCCTGATCAAAAATAGCACGATAAGAGGATGCAAGGTAGCCTGTAGGTGCAGCAACTAGGCACATAAGTTGGTTTTCAATGGCATACTGGATGCATGAATGAAGACATTTAGTCTTGCCAGTGCCGGCTTTTCCTGTCAAAGAAATTATCTTGGTCCACTCGTTACGATCAATTGGTATGTCTGCACGCCCTTGTCTGTGCAGCTGTGACTCGACCAAACTATCATCTTCAAAAGATATCGTAGAATCGTAATACCATGTTCGCAAACGCAAAAACGACTTAAAAGTGTCGACAACAGCAGTCTGCATTGGATCGAGATTGTCATGCTGTGATTCAGTTGGTAACGATAAAAAGTCGTCATTTCGTAAAACCTGAATTTGCCACAGTTGGTATATGTTTCTCATATTACAGACATAATTTACAACATTGTCAATAAAATAAGTTTTATGGCCTTCTCTCTGCAACATGTCTCGGATTTCTCCTTCATTTAGTAATTCTGGAATGTTTATGAGACATGAAGCGAAATATTTCAAATCATCAGGTAATGTCTCGTGATTTGGATGTTTCAAATCGTCTAGCTTTTTATGCGGTTTTTGCATAACGATAAATTGAAAAAAGAAGTCAGGGTTGAAATAAGATACATACTTGACACCCACCAGACATTTTTGGTGCTTGTACAAAGGGCAGTTTGCTTTTGAGGTGTCATGTGTTCGAAGAAAATCAAGGAAGGAAACATCTGATTCACCATTTCGACCGTGGTATTTCATCAAAATGGAATTGTTTTCTCCAGAAGAAGGTCTAGGTGGCACATAACTTTTAGTGCCATTAGTTGACCATGCCATTTTCACGGACGATAGTGACATTACCATTTCTGGTTCACATGGTTTCATATCTCTTAAATGACGATATGCAGCTTCTGCTGGAACCAACAGTGTAGAGTAGAGAGACTCAGTTGATTGCGAATCCTTAAACTTGGAGACATAGTTTGTGACATAACGCATTAGCATTCCAGCTTGATCAGAAAATTGCACGTCCATGCGACATTTCAGAAAAGGAAGAAGCGAGGAAATATATGCTCTTAATTTCAATGCAAATGCTCTTTGTGGGTAATGTAAGGACAAGTGGGGTTTGCCATCCTCGTCTGTTGTAAAACACGTAGGATTTTCATTAAGCGGCAAAACGGTCTTGTGCGATTGTTGCAAATCATGAACTAAAAAGGCAAGTTCCTTGTCAACATTTGGTATATCAGCATTTATTTGCTCATACGAGCTTTTGGCAAGATCTTCTAGCCATACCAAAAGATGAATGTGGGCTGTGCCTCGACCTTGAAATTCTATCCTATAAAACAAATTCTTAACGTTGTTCTTATTAGCTTGATTTGCAAAATTAAATACATGCTGACGCCAACGCAAAGAATTCGTTCCACAAAGGTACCCTCTAACCGTTTGTTCCAAAATATGAACAATGTTTAATGTTTCAAGAGGAGCAAGTTGCGTGGGCATTTTTCCAGACATGGAGAATGCATTCTCCAGCCAGAGGGGTGTTGGAAATGTCCATTCGTATGGACTTATTGTAATGAAAACATCAGGGTATCCGAATTGCCGGACAGCATCTACTAAGTATCGATGATGCCACTTCCAATACTCAACAGAAAATGTTTTTGTTGAAAGAGCAGTTGCAGCAGACACGTTTAATGCCCTAGAAGAAGATATAGCACCAGAAGCAGTTGTAAAAACCCATCTATCATACACAAATTGCAGTAAATCGTATTCAAGAGAATAGTCTAGGATTTCACTTCGGATCTTCATTGTGAAAGACACTTTTGCACTTTGCCGAGAAGTGTTGCCTGATAACTTAGTTTCACACCATTCGTGAAATGGATAGAGGTGAGGCCAAAGTGCACATTCAATACCATCGTTTTCTCTATAGTCATATAGATTCAACTGTTTACCATTTGTGATATGCTGTTCTCGTAACACAATAAAATGATTATAACGTGATTTTTGAGAAGTTGTTAAATACCTATATGCTAACATACATTTCAAATAACTACCAGGTTCAAGTTTTGAAATTTTCTCAAGCACCGATTGCTTTGACCACGAAACTCTACAAAAGCCATCCTTTTGCCTATACCCATGCTGATGCACTTTGTAGTTACCAGTATGTAGTGTTAGTGGACGAAGTGCTAATACTTCAGCTCTTGTAAGACCATGCAAACAAAGCGGGATTTTTAATGCTTGAGGTATATGGTACCGCTTGGTCGAACAAGGGCAACATTTGACTGTCTTCAGTTTAGAACTATCAAACGAGGGTAAAAGCTTTTCTCGGTGCAATATTTTACAATTGGGACAATATGACCATGACTTATTAATTGCCCACTGACATAAAGCTTGTGCCTTATTGTTTGGATTCTGGTCTTGTTCGTGAACTTGTGCACCTATATCACTGTTAAAAAATGTGGAACGCAATTGCTCAACCCTCTGAAGCCGTAAAATCATGTCAGACTCTTTCGCTGCTTTCCATTCATTGATGGGGTATGATCCTATTATATGAAATGGACGTTTTGACCAAAACCCAATGTAATCTTGGGCCGCCATGTTGCTGGAAACAGTGACAAAACTTGCATATGTTAAATTAAAGACAACGATAATTAACAGTATTAGTGTATAGTAAAAGCAAATGCAGTATGTGAACTTAATACTAAGTTGTAAAAAGTACCCTAGCTTGCAAACTAAAATGTACAAACACGACAAGAATATAATAATGCTATGAACATAATCGATGAGTTAAGTCAAACACTTCTTTAACATGTTACAAGAAATGAACTTTCTTGTTAAACGATTAAATACTAGTTTAATATAATACCTTGTATTTTTTTTTCAAAGAAAAAACAGCAGTTAAAGCGTAAACCAACAACGAAAATAGAGAAATGCTTATAAGAACGTTTCAGTACGAAATTGAACTTAGCTTTGTAAACAATGCTTCCATATCGTGCTTCCACTTTTCATGTTAAATGTAAGAAAAATAACAAAAAGTTGTCTAAACAATTGGAACGCTAAACTTGATCAATTAAAAACATATCATGAGACTTTTCAGGACATGGACTCTTTGTTGATATGCGAATCTTCCCTTGAATTGGTTTGGTTCAAATTTTAGAATTTGTAAACTTTGACAAATTTTCATACTGAAAATTTGAAAAATACAAAATACTTTTGTCCATATCTCCAGTACTAAAGCATGCACAGATATGGCTGACACATCATTACACTGCACATAATATGGGCTACATTTTGATATGTGAACAATATTTTAAAGTTGTTTTCTTCAGATTTTATACTTTTAAAACTGAGAGGAATCTTAATCATGAAAATTGTTATAAAACAAGACACTTTTGCTTAAATCTTGAGAAGTAAAGCCTGTACAGAAATGGCTCATACATCATTAGACAACTTATGATATGGGCTATCTTTTGATATATAAACCATTTCTTAAAGTTGTTTGGTTCAGATTTTATATTTTTAAAACTGAGAGGAATTTTAGTCATGAAAATTGTTATAAAACAGGACACTTTTGTTTATTTCTTGAGAAGTGAAGCCTGTACAGAAATGGCCCATATATAATTAGACAACTCATGATATGGGCTATCTTGTAATATATAAACCATTTAATAAAGTTGTTTAGTTCACATTTCATCCTTTTAAAACTGAGAGGAATTTTAATCATAAAAATTGTTATAGAACAGCACACTTTTGTTTATATCTTGAGAAGTAAAGCCTGTACAGAATTGGCCCATATATCATTAGAGAACTCATGATATGGGCTATCTTGTAATATATAAACCATTTCTTAAAGTTGTTTACTTCACATTTCATACTTTTAAAACTGAGAGGAATTTTAATCATGAAAATTGTTGTAAAACAGGACACTTTTGTGTATATCTTGAGAAGTAAAGCCTGTACAGAATTGGCCCATATATCATTAGACAACTCATGATATGGGCTATCTTGTAATATATAAACCATTTCTTAAAGTTGTTTACTTCACATTTCATACTTTTAAAACTGACAGGAATTTTAATCATAAAAATTTTTATAAAACAGCACACTTTTGCTTATATCTTGAGAAGTACAGCCTGTACAGAATTGGCTCATATATCATTAGACAACTCAAGATATGGGCTATCTTGTAATATATAAACCATTTCTTAAAGTTGTTTGGTTCAGATTTCATACTTTTAAAACTGAGAGGAATTTTAATCATGAAAATTGTTATAAAACAGCCCACTGTTGTTTAAATCTTGAGAAGTAAAGCCTGTACAGAAATGGCTCATACATCATTAGACAACTTATGATATGGGCTATCTCTTATATATAAACCATTTCTTAAAGTTTTTTGGTTCAGATTTTATATTTTTAAAACTGAGAGGAATTTTAGTCATGAAAATTGTTATAAAACAGGACACTTTTGTTTATATCTTGAGAAGTAAAGCCTGTACAGAAATGGCCCATACATCATTAGACAACTTATGATATGGGCTATCTTTTGATACAAGAACCATTTCTTAAAATTCTTTCGTTCAGATTTTAAATTTTTAAAATGAAAGAAATTTTATTAATGAAAGTTGCTATAAAACAGGACACTTTAGCTAATATATCCAGAAGCAAAGCTTCCGATTGTGGGTTCAAACTGCATTCCCCCAGCTTCCCCCCATGTCCAACTTTTTACAACTGTTCCCAATCTGAATTTAGATTTTAAATTCGACATATCAGGGGGGAGTTACGTCCGTTTTTTCACGGCAAAAGAATAACTT